GCTCAGCACTGATGACTTATGTAACAGCGTGTTCTCTTCTCCCCCCTCGGCCCTGCATAGGAAACAAGATAAAAAAGTAGGAGATAAATAAATAAAGAGTGCATAGCACAGCACGCCACTCCCGTGTGGCACGTGTACCTCGTCCTTGAGGACCTAAAGCCCTAACATTGTCCTCTGTCGGAGACGTCCCCCAACCTTCTCTATAACCTCCACCGTTGTCTTCTTCTTCTTTTGGGCATTCATTACAATCAAGGACAAGTCATTCAAACTTAGTCTCCATTCAGAATCCTTTTAGACCAATAATGAATAGCAGCTCGGTGCTTCTGTGTTTCATTCCATTCTGTGTCTATTTATAACATTTTTTTTCAAAGGCAGTGGGTGAGGTTTCTCAGAAATGACTGTTTTCTCACTGAAGTTAGGAAGGTTTTCAATGTAACAACATAGAAGTTGCTGAGCATTTCATACAAGCTATAGTTGAATGTTCCTTATGTTACATTTTCATTCCCGACCAGAAAAAGTGAGAATGAGTCTGGATTTATTTATTTATATGACGATGCATTGAGATGGTATTTTAAATGAACCAAAGAGTCTCTAGTTTTCTGACTTCAGCTCAATGTATTAGTGGCTTTACAGCAGAGTTTCCCAAACTTTCCCAAACCTTCTCGACCCAGGTCAATAGACATTATTCGTCAACTCCTGGGAAACATGATGCGATGTTTCTTTGGGAAACAGTGCTTTACAGGAATAAAATCTGTAACTGCCTCATGGCACTGATCAAAATAATCATTGTTCTGGTTCACTGTGAAATTTTCCCTCTTCTCTCATTCCCAATTCAATTTGTTCTGTGGAACAAAACCAATAATTAGGAAATTAGATTTTTAACATTTTCACAATTGAATGTATTTTACAGGGAAATTGAAGAGTCACATTATAATGAATTATCCTATTATATATATATTTAGTAGTCTGTATATTAATTGTGGGAATAAATCTAAAGACTAAAAACATGTGCATATATATACATATCTTTATGTATATAAATATATATGCATATACGGTATGCTTTACTTCCACAAAGTGGAGTAGAGCAAACACACACGTAAACCTAAAGATTGTGTTTCTTTTCTGTGTGTGCAGAAACAGCAGGGAGTGATGAGCGTGTGTGCGGCTCAGAGGAACAAGAGGAGCATCAGTTCTCCGACGAAGAGTCTGAAGAAGACGACGACAACGATGACAATGATGATGAGGACGAAGAATCCGTATCCCAGGACAATCCACCATCCTCTTGTTCGTCGGACACCCACCTCTCCACTGGAGGACGCTCCAGCTGCAGTAGACAGTCTCAACAGGGTACTTCTGACCCTGAGCCCTCCGCAGGCCTCAGTCCCAGTCAGGAGCACTCCCCCAGGGGGGTTTGGCTCAGCAGACGGGCTGCGTCTCCAGCCAGCAGGAGGGCACTTTACTCCCAGCGGGGCTGGAAGGCATCACCCAGAGCCTTCTCCCCGAGCAGTGAGAGCTACTCTCCCAGCCGCAGTCTCTCCCCTCGCCTGGAGCTGTCCTCACCCCTCCACAGCCTCTCTCCCAGGACTGAGCTTTCCTCACCCAGCAGACACGTCTCACCTTCTCCTGAAAGAGGACCATCTCCCATCAGACCCCTTTCACCTCTTCAATCTGTTTCATCCAGCTGCTACAGATCATCAAAAGCTCGGACGCCTCCCTCACCGCTTAGGTTGCAACACAGGCCAACTGGATATCTGCCGTGGGAGAGTCCCAGTACCAGGACGAGTCATGCTAAACTGGTGAGGGCTTTTTTTTGTCTAGTTTTGCTCAGGTTCATACTATAGCTTACTACAGGCTACATTTCCTCCCTGCACAGGGCCAGTCCAGCGTGTAATGATAATGTTTTTGCACCCCCTACAGGAGAAAAGAGGAACATCAATTGGTGAGGGACCAACATTCCCAGAAACCAGCTGGTTCCCATCTGCTTTCCGTCTTTCTGTATGTGAAGGTTATCCTGGACAGCAGGCAGCGGATAACATTTTCAGCCATCTTCCCCTGCACTCCCAACAAGCCAAGGTCCCTTATCTGATGATCTCCATCGGAGGCATTCAAATGGTACAGGCCAAACACAGGTCCCACCCCACCACTCCCTCGTCCCCTACATCTCCGCCCTTGGAGGGGTCGTCAGGTGCCAGGTTTGAGTCATACTGGGGTAGAACAGCCAGAACTCAAGGGCTTAGGACTCCTGGAGACCACTGGTCAGAGCCCCAGACCGCAGGAACCAGCCAGTCAGGGGGCTACGTTTTAAGCACAACTCCAACATGTTCCAAAGTGGAGATGGAGACCACAGACTCAAAGCAATATGGCAGCTCACACAGCTCCGCCCACACTTGTCAGTCTGGCACTGAGACTAAGGAACGCTGTGTAAGAGACAGTCGTTCAGGAGTGTCCCTCAGTCCAGAAGCTCCTGTAGCCGCTTGTCTCACTGGACGGCAGCAGGAAGAGGAGGAGCCACCATCTAGTAGTGATCAGGAAGAGGGAGGAGCTAAAAAAGACTCGTCCAGAACAGACCACAGCACTTAACAGTGTCTGCAACTCGATGCATCCTGCATCTCATTTTGCTTTATTGGTTGCTACACTAGTCTTGTTTTTTATTGGTTTGTTTTTATACAGTTTTCAATACTTGTTAACTTAAATGTTTGTTCCTTGGCAACATTCAGGTTTGTTATAAAAATGCACTTTTTTTCTTTGTGAAAATCTTTCTGTAGATTTATCTATTTAAAAAAATATAAATATATATACCGTGAATGTCCTTAATTTTTCCAGTTGGGATTTAAATTTGCCATGTGTCAGTCTTTTCAAATGCAAGGTTTAGAAATAAATATGTTTTTTTATAATTAGTAATCCTATATAAATATACATTTTAATGTGGTAGGTCGCCATGTCTTTTTTTATGTAGGTCAATTTTTTGGAGGTTGTTAATAACTGAAGAAAAGCAATAGAATACAGAGGACAACAAAGACCTACAGGGAAACTGACAGAACATCTTGACTTAGCTTATCTTAACAACTTAGCCCCAGAACAGTTGTTATTGGCAAATGTTGGTCAAAATATTTGATTCACTTTTACAAAATAATATGGTTTGCTTCCTACGCTGTCCAACCTGGTCGTTGCCCTGTTCTGTTATGAAGGAGTGGATTGACCAAGTAGGATCATTCTTTGGAATTACCTCAGATTAGGTAAGACAACAAAGTATCTTGTTCACAAAAGCTCATTAATAATTCCTCCACAGAATTTCAGCTCTGTTGCCGTGTGTGAATTCTGTCTGAGAGGTTCTTTCACCGTCACCTTCTGTGCAGCTCTTAAAGCATCTCTTCAATATGCAGGTCCTGAGACCGTATTGTTCTTCCATTGTCAGCTTCTTTTCTTCAAATGTCCTTTATCTCAGTGCTGTGGTGGGACAGGATGCAGTAAACACAGCATTTTGTTTTTACAGACAGGAGGACAGAGAAGCTTCAACAAAGCTCAGGGCCTGGTTTCCAAAAGTGGCAGCCCATATTTATAAACAAAATAAAATAAAAAAACACTAAGATGATGTGGTATATTTAAATTTTAACTGGAAAAATTAATTAAAAAAATACAGATGCACACATGTTTGATTTGACATTTAAATATATACATATACAGTACATCTTAATGTCTCTTTGAATACTATAACAAAAAAAGGAACATGAATAAATTTGTAAATGACCAAAATGAATAATTATTCCATTTTTGTTTGTCCAGTATTATTCAAACTATAATTACTTGTGCCTTTTCTGTGCAGGTTTGCTTTTCAGATGTACAGTACATGTAGACAGAGAGACGGCTGTGAAAACTTATATCTGCTATTTGTGTTGTTGTTTAAAGAGGGATAATATTTGGTGTTTTTTTTTTTTAATTGTTTCCTTTTCAGAGGACATTGCTTTAAAACGCCAGGGTAATGCAGAATTGCGTGGTGAAAATGTTGAAGGAGAGGAGAAACATGTCAGAGGAAATGCACTGAAGATCTATTTTTAACTACAAAAATAGATTAAAATTTATCTCTGTACAGGGAAGAGTGCTTTTTATTTATTGTTTTTGATGATAATGGTCATCATGGTGTTGTTGTTTTTTTGTTTTGTTTTTTTTTCTTCATTTTTTTACCTTTTGTTATTGGAAAAAATACTTTGTTATACATGTGTTTTTCCCTTGATTTTGTTGTGACTTGAATTGGTGGCAGACATGAGAGATGGACTGGTTTGTACTGGAGGATCAAGTGCCCTGCAAATTTCACACACAGCAAAATTTCTTATCACTGAGGAAATTAAAAAAAATGCACCACACTCCCACACTGTGCGTTTCTTTTAATTCAACATGAAATGGTACTGAATGAATCAGTTTGTTTGTATCCATCTGTTCTTAGGCTGAAGAAATGTTGGAGCCATTTCCCCTGCTCTTCGCTCGGGGATGTTGACGGCCATGTTAAATTGGTAAGTACTAAATATCTCACTGGTGTCTACCTGTCCGTGGTCATTGTTTTGGTTTCTAGTAACTTCTTCATGTGGTACCACATCCGTATGACTTGATATAACCACTGGGTGTCCTCACTGAGTCATCATCGGTCACACATTAAAGTTACATCGGTAATGAGAGTTTTTTTTGGGGCACACGCTCAAAAATGGCAAAATATTTTTTGGGGGCACACGCTCAAAAATGGCAAAATAAACAAAAATAGTCCTTATTACATCGCTTTAATGAGTTAAATGACTAAACAGGTCTTTTTTAATTGACTGAATCAAAAAATGACACTGTTAAAATACAAATTAAATACTGTTGCATAAGTGTGTGTCTGCCATATAGTTTCCGGTTTGTTTGTAAAAGTTAAACTCTAAAATTTGTAATATTTTTCTTCGTTAACTAAGCTGTTTTGTCCATTTTTTAAACATATATACATTTAACTCGGATGTTTTGGCATTTAACAATGTAACAAGTGAACCCGCTGCCAGGGCAAGTATGGTGGTACGAGACTATAGTTTAGATTAAATTAAATCATAACGATGTTATTATGTTTATCTCTACGTGTGTCAGCAGTTACGGTCTAAAAGAGATATTTTCAAACATAATTTAAAAGTATTTTTATCTGAGGCCTCTATCTTTATTTTCGTGTAAACGGTTCGTTTAGGACAATGTGGAAAAACTGCGGAATAACTTAAGTTATTTTTAATTTATACTAGTTTTCTCCAAGGTCAAATTCTCCCATCTTACTTTTCTTTGGGTTTTAATGGCAGCCCTGCCTCCCTTGAAGTTCGCTACTGCCCTCTGCTGGGTGGATTCACATTCAACATTCTATCCAGAACTAAATCAATCACTTTCAAATGAAAAAAAGGGGTGGGTGGGGAGAGTGCCTGAGACAGCATTACTACTACAGATGACCACCATAACCTTTTAGTTACGTTAATTCAAATAACGGAGGAGTGAAAAAACCATCGTGCTCTGTCTTTGAATATTTATTTTACAGGGTTATTGCAGCTGCCCCTTAACATGAATTCCAGTTCAAAATATTGTCCTGCTCAGCAGAGGGATGTGTTACTCTCATGTTATTTGCACAAAAGAATTTTGACAGCACAGCAAGACGTGTATTATATAAAGTTCACTCAGCTACGGCCAGCGTGTGTTGACAAAAAGCCAAAGGACGTGTTTTTCTGTTATATGAACCTTTATGGGAAATGTTACATAAAATGAGCAGTAAGGACCATGTGTGTTTAGCCTGTACTTAAAAATAACCTGAAGTAAACAATGGTCCCTCCTCCAACCTCCAGAACATGCTGACAACAACAGAGGCAGACAGGTTTGTAGGAGGTTATTTTTAAAAAAAAAGGAGGCAAGTGAGGAGACAACGTCTGCTAATTAAAAATAAACAGTGGCTTCTTGACACAAATTAGATTAAAAGTTATCCTGTCTGCTTTACGTGTATTCTCAGTTTCTTTCTCGTCATATTTTCAGAAACACGTTACCCGATGCGATGCAATGAGTGGTGGGTGCGGGGGGTGAGGATGGAGACACATCTGTGCTCCAGAGAGAACTGAACTTCTAACCTTTTGGATAACAAAATGTTTTTAAAAAATGATACATATTGCAAATGTAGCGGGTGTTTCTCTCTCTCTGTGTGTGTGTGCGGCCCCTCATTACTATGACATGTAGTACATTCCTCGCATGTATAGGTGAAAGGAGCATGACAGTGTCTGCTTTTAGACGTCTGGAAAATGATGAGTTTGACAGTAAAATAGTTCAAAGTGACTGACAGACGGCGACAGTTTCTATGGTAGAGACCTAGAGCCAGACAGAAGCGACTTGGGCGGGATACACTGCACGCCAAATTATTATTATTATCAAAACTACTATTAAACTATTATCAAACAAAAAGTCTACCTAAAAGAGTCATTTATTTTATATTATTATTGTTTTCTATTCAACAAAAAGTCTACCTAAAAGAGTCATTAAGTCACAAAGCTAAGGATAAAATAAATTAAAATCAAATTAAAAAATTAAGATAAATGATTAGACAAAGCTAAGGCTAAGGATAAAATAAATTGAAATCAAATTAAAAAATTAAGATAAATGAAATCAAACTATCTGCATAATTATGACTGAACAGAATCGATGGCACATTTTGCAGCAAATGCAGTTTCCTGCTTTCATCACCTAAACAGAGTTTGTTGAACAGCGGGAGGAATGGAAACCATTAATAGACACACTAGCCATTTCATCTATTCTCTGTACTTTATTTTACACTGCCAGCCAGACAAGGAAACGCTGACTCTTTAACCTTGTGACCTCTTTCCTCTTACAACACTTACTCTGAAGCCACTTACCTAATGGGTGACCCTTGACTGAATTTACACCTTCATAATAAAAAGTTCAGTGTCTATTATTTATTAGCCGCTAATAACTGATAAAGCTGGAGCTAAAGTGAAATCTTGTCATCTGAGAGCAGCGCTGCATTTTGACAGGATTAGCCAGACAAATGAACGTACACGAATGACCTACAAACTCGGGTCATTGTTCAGTGTGAGGGACTAAATAGGGCCATATAATGGTGTTCAGACCGCCATCTGTCACCATGAAGACATCAGTTTGACGTTGAAATTTGGCTAAAGGCCATCATGGCACAGATGTATTATCTTTAGCTCGTAATCTAAAAGATGATGATGATGATAATGATTTCAACCTCAATAGACAGAAATTCAACCCAGTGGTTTATTGCTGGGTAACATTGCAGCAAAAAAGCAAATAATACGTTTTGTTCCATCTCCTCCCTGTGTGTGTGTGTGTATGTGTGTGCGTGTGTGTGTGTCGGACTTCTACAGGCACTTTTGGATTAGTCTCTATGGAAACTGGAGTTTCTAAATTGCAAGATTTTTTCTTCCTTGTTTTCCTTAAAAGAAACTCACTGTACCAGTTGCCGCAGTGTGAACCTGGCTCTGACTCATGACACTGTTTGTTTTTCCTAAAGAGTTGTTTGCACACTTTTATGTCACGATAGTCCATACTTGATATTCAAACACTTATTGTTGCTGTGTTTGGGGCGTGGAGCTGTTGCAGGGCAAAACCATTCAAATTTCAATATATTCATTTTTTTGTGCCGCATGGGAAAAATGTATTATTATATACTGTAGAATAGCAGTTTAAAAATAAAGTCCAGTGGAGATTTGAAACAGCAGTGGTAAATGTGCCCTGACAGTAGCCCTAGCCACAGAAGGAGTTCCTGCAGAAAACCACTGTTAGCACTTTAGCATTTGTCTCTTGAGACATATTCTCAATTAATAAACAACCAGAGACATATGATGTGTCACAGCAGGGGACGATGGAGTCACAGCGAGAACTAAAGCAGGAAAGAATCCCTGGAATGTATCATAGGGTCCAACACCCTGAGGTTACATGGTAGTGCAGTAGGCGGGGCTATTAACATGACATCACAGGAGGTGATTCGGAGGAAGGGGGTGGGGTGGGGGTTTTAAAGAGAGATAAAAAGCTCACTCACCTTCAACACATTCAAAACACAACTCAGTGTGAAGATATACATCAGTATTTCCATCAGAGAAGGCTCCATCTGCCAACAGCCATGTCTGCTCACGTCAGCATTCTGCTGCTCATCACTCTCTGGGCTTCACTGCAGGAAGGTGAGTTCAGTTTCTCTCTCAGGTCTTACCAACTAAGAAGCATGTGGAATGGAGAGGTCATTGAAACCATGTCTTTAGTAATATTTAAAGTTTACATTTATTGTTGTTTGGTTTTTTGTTGTTTTAAAATCATTTTAGAAGCTCTGTCCTTGTTGCACACTGTACAGTTATTAGTCAGTGTCCTATGATTGACAGTTAGTGACCATGTATGGTCAGCCACAGTACTTTCCTGTATTTTAATTTTTAGGCAAGTCAAGAACCTCAGGACACGTGTCACACTATTAGCTTATTTTCCCTCTTCTTTTTCAGAAATGCATTCGAAGTTCAGTTGAAATATATTTAAATGTGTTTTATCTGTATGTATGTATGTGTTTTTAGTTGAAAAAATAAATAAAAACAGTCTTTATAATGTTTGTTTCATTCAGGACAGATTTGAATACAGGCTACCAAAAAAGTAGCTTAGCAGTAATAGATTTCTTTGACTCTTGGTGTTGGACTAGGTTTGGGAGTTCCAGTAAGGAAAGAGATGGAGGAAGAGTCTGTCGATGGTCATCCAGTACAACAGAGAATCAGAACCAAGCGATGCGCTTGTAACAACATGCTGGATTCTGAGTGCCACTACTTCTGCCACCTGGACATCATCTGGGTCAATACACCCAGGTAATCATTACTCCCAAATGTACTGCACATACACATGTACACATGGCTGCTCTGAACCACTTTCTGTCACCTGAAAATTTGTAATAATTGTATCCACTTATTTTCAGCGGTGTACCTCATGGCTCTGTTATTGGTACACACCTATTCTTTGTTTATATGTAGTATATATTTCCACTGACTTTAAGGACTTATTTAAGGACGCAAACACAGGAAACATGTGCTGTGTGTGTGATGCATAACATTTTATATGTGCAGTGATCCCTCTCCTATTGCGGCAGTTGCGTTCCAAGACACACTGCGAAATGGGAAAAATCGCAAAATGGAGGCGAGATAGTTATTATATTATTTATGTTTATACTGTATTTACCCTTTACGAACCTCCCCCGTCACTGTTATCAACCCTTTCCCACACAATTATCTGCGCAGTAGAGTTGTATAATGGTGACGCAGAGCGAAGTGAATGAGAGAGTAGCCGACAGACGAGGCTGCTATGACGCATGAGCCAATCAGCGTGACGAACAGAATATAAGAACAATAGCAAACCGAGGAGGCATTGTATGCTGTGCTCAATTTCAAAACGGGAACCCACATTTTTAAAGCCAACATTTCTGCATGAATAATTATTTTATAACGTCTTTTAGTTTATTTTGGGCTATATTTCACAATATAGTGAAAAATTTGCAAGATCAATTTAAAAAAAAGTGATGTACTGAGAACCGCGATGTAGAGAGGGAACACTGTACTTCACACTTAACTTAACTATGCTTAAGAAGTGTAACACTGAAAATGAAACACTGTCAAATAATCCTGAGCAAGTGTAACACAAATGAAACACTGTCAAATAATCCTGAGTCATTACACAGGACTGTGTATCAAAGTATCAAAGAGCAAAGTCTTCCATTCTTTTATCATGAATGTAAAACTCTTTTCTCTCCTTTCCTCTGCAGTAAAACCACAGTTTATGGTCTTGGCAGCACAGTACCCCGTCGCAAAAGGTCCAATACCCGCTGCACCTGTATTAACCCCGGTGATCAATCATGCACCAGCTTCTGTCATAACAGGTGAGTCCGGCCCAGAGCTATACTGACACGGAAACAAAACCATCCCAGCATCAGTCAAAGGCCGATTTGGGTTTACACATGTTTGCAAAGGCAGGTAACCTTTGGGATATTTTCATTTTGACTGGTTGGCAGGGTCAATATTGGATTATGAAGTCTGGAGACACTGAAACATGACATGACAAACAACAGTGGAGTAGTTGAAGGGCAAAGCAGGCCACATGTTTAAACAGAAACATTTTTAACCCTCACTGAACTATTAACAGTAAAATGGGTCTGTTGTTTTTAAGCTACTGACTGTCAGGCAATCAGTTTAGCAGTATTTGTATTCATGTAGGGCGACTTTTTACTATCATAAAAAAAACCCAATCATTTATACTAGTTTTGAATAACTTGACTATTTGCTTCTATGCAGCCCTGTAATCAAACCTCAGAGACAGCAGGACCAGAACACCAGGTAAGCTTAAAATCACAGGAAAATACCAAATGCTCTCAGATATTACTGTATATCTGGATTCTATTTTCAATAAAACTGACTTTTTTGTGCCAGCAGATCCAGGATGTCAAAGGTTTCATCAGTGGTGACTCTTCTGAAGCTCATAGCAAAAACACTTGCCGTACAAAGTGGCTGATGACGATCAAGAATCAAAGAGATAAAGAGGACAGCGAGCAGCTGAACAAATGACTCTCCTTTGATGGAAACATGGGAGAGAAAGAGCTGCTGAAAGATGTGTCGGGCGCCGGGAGGCCACAAAGACGTCTGTGTGTACCTGGAGGCAGACAGTGGAAAAACACACCAGGGTTTCATAGACACATCACGGAAACCAGTGTGGTGGGTGGGCACAGAGATGAGTTACTACTCATGCTGTGCTGTGGTCGTGCTTGACTCGCACTGCCAGGTAGGACAAAGGAGTGAAACCAAAGACTGCTTCACACTTAGAGTACTGGACTTGAGTTTAGTACTTTTATGGTAACTGACTTCTGTAGTATCCAGAAAAGCTGATAGGTCTAAATGTTGATGACATCATTATCAAAGGTAGATATCCATTACAATTGAAATCAAAATTGATTTTTTAAGACATTTTACTGATCAGAGTTGAACCAACACAGGACATACAGAAACGGCCTTATCAAATTATGGCCCGTGGACCACATGTGGCCCTTACACATCCAACCATATTTCCCATACCTTCATTTGAGGTGGATAAACTTCTTGGCTCCCAGGCCAAAATGAGGTTCACAATATGACTGGCAGACTGATTCAGTGTGGGTTGGATGTGGAATGCTGGGTGAAATATTTTAAATAAAATTAACAAGAACATTTCTGTAGTTTAGATGCCACCATTTAGTGGCTCCACCAGAAATATGAAACAGAAAGATTAACACCAGTCTTTACTGTATCTTATATCAGTGTGTGGCAGACCGGATTAGAAGTCCAGTGTGCTGTAGCTGGCCCACGAGCCATAGTTTGCCCAGGTCTGACCTATATGGTTACGCACAACCTAATGGAACCTCGTATGCATTAAGATTTGGTTGAATTACAACTGAATTCAGTCACCTGACCCGGTAGAAGGTGTTGTGTATTATTGGATAACTTTTGTAATGAAGTGCTACAGAAAACTGGGTTACAACCCAAACACTGAAGTTCCTGTCCCAGAGATCAGTCATGTAGAACCTTTGACTGTGTAAACATTTGGAACGTTGTTCATTGAATAGAGAGCATTTTGTGTTGTGTATGTGTGCAGTTGATACAACATCAACGTCTATCTTGATGTCTCCAACTGAAAACACTGTAGCTTATAATCTTTTATATCTAACAACAGTTCAGTGTTATAAAAAAATAAAAATAAATAAATCACCAACTTGACCTGTGTTCTCTGATAGGCTTAAAAGTTTCAGCCTCCTGTGTTTGCTTTAGTCGAGTGCACTGTGTAAAGAAAGTGATTACAGTAAAGAAACCAAAGATGAAGAGTAATTTGTGGGAGAATAAATCCTCTTAGGCGGCATGTGTGATTCAATTGTGTGACAAGCAAACACATTTCTAAGTTCAAACAGAGGCCTGGGATGGATGAATGGTCCAGGAATTCAAGCTTCACAGTGATAATAAGTTTACCTGCTTTTCAAAGACAGCGTGGCCTGTGTTATCACAGGGATCTGTGGAAAGAATGCTGCATTTGGCTGTTTTGCTCAGGGGCCGAGGAAGAGGCACAAAATGCTTTGTCAGTCAATGTTCCTCTCTGATTTCTAACTACGTGTGCTGTCCGTGCACACCTGAGGATTTAGCAGCTGGGGCTGCAGACACCGAGTGCTGGTTGAGGATGTAGCAAAGTGACCAGTTCAGATTCATACACCTCTGATTTCCGGCAGTTGATTTTTTTTTGCTTCCGAGCATTCATTTCATTCCTGATATTTATCTTTTTGTGGAGACCCTAAAGCAGTTTTTACAGAACAGGTCTGAGCAGAGTCACAATCGTAGGTAGACGAGGTCTGAGCCGCGGGGGTCTGCAGTCAAACGCTTCAGGGAACGATTGATTGACATGATGATTTAGCTGTTGTCTCTCAGGGGATAAATAAATAAAAAAAACTGGTGTGCTTGCGTACAGGAATGTTTTTTATTCTAACTGGATTCAGTCTTTTCAGGGAGGAGGTGATGAGTAAGAAAAAAGAGGAGAGATAAACAAGAAGTTAAAGAGAGAGAAAGAGGGAGAGTCAGGGAGAGAGACTCTTATTGGAGTTAATTTTTAACAGTGACGTCAAATGTTTATGAAAAATGTATTTTATAGATCTTATCAAAGCCATAATAACATCTATTATAACATCAATCTAAGTCAAAAAGTTATCTTATGGTTGTCTGAAGTTATAACTTTGGGGAAATGTATAAAGCTTTACTAAACTGATCATTGGCCAAGATTTACAGCTTTAAGACAAAAAGTGAATCTAAAAAAAAACAGACAGAAAAGTCAGAGGAGTTCCAGTGCAGTTTAGATGCGTAGACTGCCACCGAGGGACGATGAGCTCAGTCTGAGTTCTCTCTCTGATGCTTAATTGTTACTTCACCTCATCCTCTTGGTGTGATGGCATTTTCTTACCTCTGGTCCAGTGTCCTGGTAACACCTACAGTAGATTGTGCTCCAGCGAATGATGGTTGAACAATAACAAATACTGGTCCCTGTGAGTCAGTTTCCTGTAAACTTCAGTGTTGAACACAGTCCAGAAAGGCCAAGGATGAAGATGTCATGACCTAATTCCTGTGTCATGTCCTGCTGTGTCCTAAAAACCTAGTGATTAATAATATCAAATATTCACCATGATGCAGAAAAAATCATTTAACGTTCTCTTATAAGTACCTCGAAAATCTCTATAACAATACATTGATGTTAAACCATGTATAATAACCTTCGGAGGTAATAAGGTTTGATAAGCATGTTTATTAAGCCATAACTGAACTTTCAGTCAGAATCATCACTTTGACCAGCGATAACACCGGAGGACAAACAAACACTCATGGTTTCACAGTTTTACACATGGTTAATAATTGTTTTACCAAACATTCCACAGTCAGATTTAGTCACCACTGACAGCCGAATTAAGCCATAACCTACATTCCCAGACCATATGAGACATGAGTGCCATAGAAACCTTCCTTGTGGTAATAAAAAAAGCCCAGAACATTTGAAGAATTCCAGTTTTGAAGTTTTCTGTTTACAGTGAGTCATATGGTTTTTAACGTTGTCGTGTAGAGGGATTTACCTGGCATGTGTCCAGATGCTATGTTATGTAACGGACAGATTTTCATGCTTTTGTAGCCGGGAGTTCATGCGGGGATTTGTTTTTTTGGCGAACTTCAGAAGTCGACGTTGACCAAAAATGGGTCAGAGAAGATGCAGGTGCAGGATCAGAAACATCTGGTGCTGATGAGACATATCCCATGACTGAGCATTCTTTTCTTTGGAGGAAAGTCACCATGCTCTGATTGGCATCTGTTCCTTTAAAAGAAAAAGTAGAAAGAGAGAGAGTTAATAATGCTGCTGTGCAAACAACACCCTTTATTATATTACACAGAACGTGATCAAAACCACTTCAATACTCCTATAGTCCTCGTAGAGACTATATCCTAAAAAGAGTAAATACTGTAAAGCAAGAGCACAAACCACCTTTCCATGGTGTGTCCCTAAAATTCAAAAGCATTTTTTAAGAAATTATTTATATTATAAAAAATGAAAATAATACTATTTTATTTTCCCAGCTTGACTGTTGACTTGACACACACAGCTGTAGTCCAAGAATGTTAAATGTACACACACGTCTCATACAAATACCTGATGTTTTTGTCATAAACCTTGTTGGGGCTTAGTTTGTGTTAGTGCAAGTGTGCGCTTTTTGCCCCCTGCTGTGCATTGCAGCAATTCCTCACCCCCAAGACATGAGGTCTCATTCCTTTGACGTAAAATAAAGCAGCTGCTTGATCTGTTTATGTCAACATATCACCTTAGTCGGGACAAACCCTACTGTTTAACAGTAGGTGACTAATGAGGTAAAGGCCGAAGTGCAAATGCTTACAGTGAAAAAGGGATAATACCGCGGCTAATGTTTATTACAAAGCAGTATCAAAAATAGACGGTTGCTCCCTTTAAGAAATATTGCCAAACACCATCCCACCTTGTTGGCACCTCAGAGCAGTTCCACGGAAAACGCTTATCTCTTTATGAGGAGTTAATTGATTTTGCCTTCAGATAACGGCCACAGCCCATCTTTCATGGTATCAGTAATAAAACAATATGAAAAAAGTAAAGAGTAAACATTAGGTCACACTTGACATATGAAAGTAAAGTAATTCCCTCTTTTGTACAAATACGTCACATTTATTTGGATTTGTTCCATAAAATATAGTGACAAGTTGTCTTCAAGGTGACTATGTTTTTTACAAAGACACAGCTGTGTAAAGAGAACTTAACTAAAGAAAGGTTGGTTCAGTCATCACCACACATTCTTCACTGTTTCAGTGTCTACAGTTACCCTGAAGCTTGGGGATTTGTTGAGGATCATTATTGTGATGTAGAACATGTGTTTGTTTGTGTTTTGATCACATGTTTATGCTAATGTTGCTAATGTTTTCTTTCTTTTAATTTAGCTATTTTCAATTATTTGTTTTTACAGGAATTCTTTTTGCCGAATGATTAATGCATCAAAAAAATATTACTTCCTGATAAACTGTCAACACTGCTATGGATCAGTATTTCAGACACAAATGTTATTGTGGTTTAATAGGTACCACATTAACTTTTGACCAGGAAGTTTATAAAGGACATTGATTTTATAGTTGTGTATAACTATATTATTGGCTGTCCAGTCGTTCAAATACCTTATAACAATGAGCAAAGAGTTCTGTAAAGAGGAAGTATTGTTTATACTTTTTTAGTTTTCTTCATGAAAAATCCTTTAAATGTGTTTGCATTTATGTTTTTCAAAAGATAACTATAATTGTAATTTTAAAACAATAATAGAAAATAATTTAAGTTTATCCTAATTCTCATAAAGTGATTTTCAAGGATAAAGCAAAACGATTGCTGATTGGTTGGAACCAATTATTTTCTCTCGTGGTACAGTCACAATAATTAACCAGTAGAGGGCGTCTTAACACCATAAACTCAACCTGGAAGAAATAGTCCTTTCGGGTGACATCAAAACAATTTCCAGTTCTAATGAAACTGAGGTGAGAACCACATATCGCGCACATAATATCAGCAAAACAACAGAAAATAAAATGCCTTTTATTCACGTCAAAGATAAACAAACAAAACAAATCTGTAAAGGTATTCAGTAATCCAGATCCTTCCACCTTAAAAACAATCTTTATTTACGTAATCTACAAAATTAAAACATCTTAACACAGCTGGAACTAACAATTATTTTCACATTTTTGAGTCAATACACACAAGCATTTGTTTTTACACAGCGTAACACAATTAAACAGATACAGCATATGTAAACAATTAAAACATATAGAAAAAAATGGTCACTTGAATATGTTTTTTAGTTTGATAAAAAATACATGGTTATTTGACATGGCCGCCTCTGAATTACAAAATAAATAAAAACAAATAACCTCAATAATGATTTGTTTAGGGGTAATGGAAAGAACAATTACAATATTTGTTGGTCCAGAATTTTGACTTTTCTATTTTCAATAAGAGAAATTTACATATTTGTCTTGTTTGTTTTATTTCTGTACATATGTACGTCTATTATGTCTACATATGTATATATATATATATATATTTGTAACTACTGTGCGCTTTTGTGTTTTAAAAAAAACGAGGGGGAGGGGAGGCCGAAGAGTTTGGGGTGGTAGTGCAGGGCGCCAAATATGACCGCGGCTGAAAATCCAGCTGAATCTAACGCAGCGGAGGTTTAACAGCTCTTCTTCACTTTTACACTCAGCTTGATAACATAGCGGTATTTGTTCTTCACTTGGACCAAACCCAGCTCTGATGGATGTGGCGCAGAGGATGCTGGGATATGAAGTATTTTAAACACAATGACAGGCCGCGTTTGTAACTGCCGCAGAGGAGATGCAGCTTCTGCTCAGAACTACGGCTACCGACATGCTCGGCTCTGGATGGTTTCCGGTTAGTGCGTAGAAATGTTTGGAGCCGGCGCTGGAAGAAGAGGAGAGTGAGGTAAGGAGATGACCGGCTTATTTTTAAACAAGGCTGTTACTATTTTGTTAAAGGAGGAGGCGGTGCAGGAGGAGAAGAAGGAGGGTAAGTGGAAAGGGCGGCGCCGTGGAAGCTGAGATCCTAGAGGAAGCTTAGGAAACCACAAAGTGTGGAGGGAAGATTCTCCCCGCAGACAATACGACAACTTGAGCTCTAACTTGATACGAAGAGCTCGTATCTGCTGTAAACGGCGTATTTACAGTGAGAACAGTGCGAGTTGTTGCCTCGCTGCGTATTCTGCGCGTCTTTTGTGCACGCGTTTGCTGCTAAAAATCACTGCTGCAGTTTCTCCACATGAAAACATTTTCCACTGATGCTCTGCTGCAGAGGCGTCCACGCACAACAAAGGATGCGTGTGATTTCCGGGCAGGAGACTGTTCGGATGATGCGTTCACTATTACTAACCGAACAGCAGCCCGTGAATTAGAATGATAGTCAGGACTACTTTTCAAATATAAACGCCGCCACCCTTTATCGATTCATCTTTTAGCCATTTTATTTATTATTATCATTACTATTATTATTACTATGTTGGGATTTTTATTATTGTTTTCCAAAGTTTTGTAAAGTTAGTTAAGTTGTGTAATATCGGCTTTTGTCATTTTTCAAAACTCGTTTGTGATAGTAAACTGAATATCTTTGTTTCGATCATCAAAACTACTCTGATATTTGATTTGGTGTGTTGCAACTTCAGTAAGCATTTCTTCAGTTTCTGCTTTGTTAGACTAAACAACAAGCTAAATAATCGAAAAAAAGTATCAACATATTAAGTCTTTTAAAATCATTGCAGCTCAAGTTAGTCAATTTTCCACCAGAATGTTTGTGGCGTGAGTGTTACAAAAGTGAGGACTGTTGTGATAAGCTTCCTCTGGTGCTTTTAAGGAAAAGCTTGGCAGACTGTTAACTGGCTGTGAACTAACTGCCACATCACTTTAATTTACATTTGACGTTGTACGTAATAGATGTGCTGATTGACATGATTGACAGCAGTATTGACAGAGGCCTGACTAAGGTCAGAACCATGTGACACTGCCACTGGTGTCAAATAGCTATAGACAATTTCTTGGTCTCAAGGAACAGCCTGGTTGTTAAATGACTTTATTTCTGAAAACAGTAAAGCAGCTTTGCATTTTACCTCTATATTATCTTTATATTATCTTTCTACATATACAGAAATGTCCAATCAACGCAAAAATGTAACCCCCTGCAATACCCCCGTTGACCATGTAGGTGTAACGACACACCTTGCTGAAGACATGTCTTTACGTATCTTTTACTTTTAGTAATATTGTAGTGCTTTTATTTTGAAACGTACGCCCGGAACGTGCAGTACTTTCCATGGCGGACTTAACTATGGCCTCGTCTTCACATACAGAGAAGGGGGAGAGAGATGTCTGTGTTACTCTTTCTCTTTACCCTAGCGGCTCGGTGTCTCAGCTCGTAAACCCGGAGTAACTGCTGTGTGATTTAATGCTTCTCACGCGACAGACCGAGTGGTCCGCCACCTCCAGCACCTCCAGCACCTCCACCTCCCAGGTAATATGTGCCCTGCTACAGGACGGAACGCGGTCAGAAGTGACAGTTAGTCTAATCTCAGCGATACACTTAGAAATCAACGCTCCATTTACATCTAATTAGGACGTGGAGTGTGAGGGCAAAGATGGATCCACTCGACTGTTCTTCCTCACAGTGACGCTCGTTCACACACACGGGTGTCTGCAGCTCTACATGTGTGTGAATGTATATGTGATTTTATTTCTCCTCTTTCTTCAAGGACAGTCACAACATTGGATCACAGAAGGAATGCATAGTGATTTGTTGACGTCACGAGTGTCAGTGGACAAGGCTGACACATTTCCTGACAGTTCGTAGTAGTGATGGATGCCTTGTATTGGCAGCGGCATTCCAGTTAGGGATGCAATGATAAGATGATCAATCCATGACAGAATGACAAGTTAAAAAGTTGATGTTTTGAAAGTCTATTATTTATTTCGGAGTATTTTGTCATAGCAAAGTTTCAGATTTTTTTGTTTTTATTGTGATTTTGTTGAGGATTGTAGCTTCAACGTAAAGTAAATATTTCTGTTTTGTGGACCAAAACCAAAAATGTTTAATCGTGTGGGAATCAGTCAATCGGTTGTGATTAATGGTTACAGTTTTATATTCTCACGGTTGCAGTGAAGTTTTGAAAACATTGTGTTCTTGTTTTAACCCCAAATATTGCAATTTAATTTATAACTAAATCTATTAAGTTTCAAATTACGATATTACACTCATTATTTTTCATCACATTAAGTTTGACTCGGCTGCTTCCTCTCCTCTACCACTACATGCATTTCCTCGTGTTTCAGCGACACCCTGCTTGGTGTAATTCCTCCACAACCTAATTCTCCATTGTGGTAGAAAAATGCCGTCTCGTGTCATGTGGTGTAGCTGAACTCCTTCCACTTTTCACTGGAAGCCCCCCGCTTGCCCTCTTTAATGGGCCATTAAGAGGCAACCAGAATGGTTAAGTTGTCAGCCAGGTCTGATTGATTTGGTTTAGACCTCAGATGAAGCTGATGTCTTCCTAAGATTCCTCAGAAACCCATGGTTCAATATCTTCCATCCTCCTCCTCCTCCTCTTCCTCCTCCTTCATCTCCTCCAGGCTGTAGCCGCAAGCGGTGGAAGGGAGCAGAGGTTGCCAGTCTTGCCTCAGAGGAATGTGCAGTGGGCATTGAAGCAGTGCATGTTCATGCCTTGGTGTGAATAATCAATTGGCTTTCCCATCGTAAAGCTGCGTCGTTAGTTGCATGATTTCTTCCTTCTCTTCTCGTTAGTGGCTGCAGTTGAGTTTTCCTCCCTCAGGTGGAGGCAGGGACACTGAAGAAGGAAAGTTTAGCAAAGGCAGAAGCATTTTTGGGCTCCTTGTTAAAGTGGGCCACCGGTCCCTGTGGTGACTCGTTCCTTTCTGGGGCAGGCTCGGCAATGACGCTCACCCAGACTGGATTTGGAACAGACACTTTTGTCCATTCAACCCGAGAGGGAGAGTGTGCAGTTGGAATACTCGCTGCAGTCAGAAAGCCGTCAGAATTCTAAACCAACTTAACTTTCTGATACTTTTGGATCAGCCCTGTAAGTATTGACTTTGGTTTTCACTGGTTTCTAATTTGATCGTTTCCCTCAATGAAATCTGTTTGAGAGAAAGGTTTTAAGTTGGGATCCACCGACCTGAATGTTAGGTCTTGCATGATTAAGAAGCTAAGTTCTATTTAAAGATGGCATAACTGGACCAGCTTCTGTCATTTCCGCTCCCGTTGAAATTAAATCGGCGATAGCTAAGTGCGCCACTGAGGGTGTGTGCACTCCACAGAAGATTATATGGTCAGGACTTCTCAGCAGGCACTAACGGCTACTTTCACATACCTGATTGGTGGCTCCTATTCCTGGTAAGTGAGTTTGTGGAACAGAGGCTGGAAAGAGGACAGCAGTTGGTATCATCCTTCCCTTAAACTATCATCCAGCAGAAGGATGTGGCTTGTTAATGTGCCTTTTAAACAAGGTGGTTTGTCCTGACTGTACAGAGTTTTGACAAGACAATAGCATGGACAGTGATTGATGAGTCTGGGAACTGAGGTGACTTTTGGCAAAAGCTTGATTTTTACAAATATATATAAATATAAAGACTGTTGTCATTAATCAACGGTGTATTCTGATTTCCTTAATTCATTTGATACAGTGTGAATGTATAGTTTGATGGGTATAAAGAGTGACAGAGGTCCTGCGCAGTTTGGACAGGCTCTGTACAGTGACGTGTTATAGGGCAGAGAGCTTGGAGAGGGTTAACAACTCAAAAAAGGAACCAGGCCACCAACATCCTTTTTATGGATCTATTCTAGGACTGGCTGTGAGCCTGAAAACAAACGGCAAGTAAAAGCAACTAATATTTGATCGTTTTGATCACTGGATTACTGGTGACGTACAGGAAGGTGAGTATGTGTCCCTGTGTGTGTGATGTGCAGAAATAACGTACCCCGCTATGCCTAAAGTGATGGAACATTCTCTACATTTGCACCTCGGCCCCCTCATTGCCTCAGATCTGCTCTTACTTTCAGACACCAGAGATATTTTTTCTTTGCCTGTGTGGAGGGAAACACACTCACCACTCAGCCAAGGCTGTGGTGATGGGCGGGAGTGTAAAAAATGTCATCTCCGACCACAGATGCATCTGACTCCTTAAACTGCCGTTAGGGTTTCCTCCTCTCCGTTAGGACTTACAAAATCCATCTCCAGTGTGTCCCAGGTATTTTAACTTATTTATGCAGCAGTCAGGTGGGATATTTTAGGAACACACTAGACAACATCGATCCTGTCCAATAGCTGTGACTGTCTCCAGGACAGACTAGTTTAGTCCAGTTCATTTCAGGCAGCACTATTAGTGTAAATGTCGTTGCATGTCCTTCTTCTTTTGATAGAGAAGTTCACCCTTGACCATGTTAATAATTGTCCTAAACGAGGTAAAGGGGAAGAAAACAGTAATGTTGAGCTCCAGTTGTTTATCACAAAGCCCTACATTTGCCATTGTGTTCCAGGCAGATAGAGCAGGTGAACGGTCATTGATCACATCAGTAATGAAGTCAAAGGCTCCAGTCTGGACATCAGTCTGGACTCCATCACCGTCTGGAGGGGCCTTTTGCTCGAATCCGTCTCCATTTATTACAACGTTAACAGTAGCCTGAGGGACAGCAGCGCTGCAGTTTGATTAGACCAGTAATTTATTGAAATGTCAGAGGATGTGAGGGTCCATTAGACCACCAGAAGGATTACATAGCAATTACATCCATGGTAGAAGAAGAAGTCAGGAATGCTGTGGTCACATTTATAGTGGCTTTGAATTGGGTTTAATTTTCAAATACTCCAACAGAGACTGTTTTTTTGGGCAGTGATTTTGCATTTTGTTGTTTTATCAAAAGAAATGTTGTTTTTAATTGCAGTGAGCAGAGACTTTGACTCTGTTTTTAATCTCTTAGGCTAAATTTGAATATTATGGTTAAACTTAAACTCAAAATAGCTACAACTGTATATAATAGCTATGGTCAAACAGTTGTCAGATCAATCAAGTTCTTATTTATTTGTATGCATGACACAAAATATAGTTTGTCACTTTGCCTACAAATTAAATAGAATAGATCCAGACTGACATGTAGACAAACAACTGATCATTTTAATAAAATGCCCGTTCATGTACAGTACCTCAGTTGTGTTTTTATTTTCATAGCCGTTTTTCCCCTCAGAAATCCTCTCGCAAAGTTGTGTTGAAGAATCTCTGTCAAACCTCTCCAAACTGAAATCACTCTATACTCAAATTTCTGTATTGCTTTCTCGCCCTAGGGCTCTCCAGCAGCATGGTTCTTGTTGTCCCTAGTCTCAAATCAAAACTCAGAAGTTTTAACAAAAGGAAGATCCACATGTTGAATTTATGCCTCTAACTTTCAACACTGCTTGTACTTGCTTTTGTCCTAAATTATAGACTTCAGCCTAATAATTGAATGGAAAGTACCCAAAGTCAAACACAATAAAAAAAAGCCCAGGGATGAAATAAAACACTGCAACAAAAATGTTTTTTGTGGGAAAATGGATCACAGTGCCTGTACGATTAGTACCTTTACTACAGAAAACATCCATTGTTGGCATGAATGTCTCTTGTGTGTAGTATCTTGGTAAAAAGATATATTTTGTTGTTATGAAATGAATCATTTAACTGCCACCACTGAGGAAGTGTTTGGATGAGCTGGTGCTGTTTGAACAATGCCCAGATGGAACTGAAAGTCTGAGTGCTTCTCACGATGTTTAACACTACCATCAGGACGGATCAAAAACCTATTCACACATCACTCTTTTGTCACATTTGTCAGTTGTGTCAGTATCAGTGTTTCATCCATGTTTGCTGCAATGTCTGGCTGAATCAGGGGAGTTATATAGTGATTGCTGTTTGTGTTGAGTTTTATGTCAAATCTTTGCAAGTTCTAGTCTTTGTCGTCATTTAATGGTTAGAGGTCGCTGAACTTTCTTTTCTTGTTTTTCAGAGGGGTTAAAATGGCAGGAGCTGCCACCGTCATCTTCATCGGAGGACCTGAGTGAAGACTGTTACACTGCTACCTACCCAACTCCATCCATGACTTTTTACTGTGTATGTGCATGATTATATTTCTACACTCACTGTAAAGCCATGAACACAGCACTGACTGTCCATTTAATGTGTGGGAAGATTCTGACAATAGGAGTGATGTCGAAAACAATTAGGGAATCTGGGGCACCGCAACGTATGACAGCGTCATCATAACATAGGATGATATAGCAGCAAGGCTAGCTCTGTGGCCCCTATAGGTGTGTAGAAAGGAACATTTTAATTTAAAATTGTCTTTATGTTTCCTACACTGGGAAAAGTGCTCTGAGTTACAATATTATTTTTGTAGGAATTTTCTTATAGGAATTTTAGGAAGTTTTAAATACATTTCTCTGGAGTTTATAAGCAATATGGTTTGAATTTTTTAACATTCAATCCATATTGGGGGGATACAACTGTCCAATCTACAACGAGGGTAAGGCAACAGTTCTAACCACCATTCTTCAAATATGTTTATTTTTAAAGTATATTAACTTAAAAGTACTCTTGTATTATATAATGTTATGTTTTGAAGTACTCGGTACTCTAAAGGGAAACATTTGTGCATCATTGTGAGGGAGAGGAAATTGTCTGCTGAAGTATTGTTTCAAAAGATTGTATGTATGTTAGCTAAATGCTAAAAATGTTAAGAAATTAGAATTAAATTAGCTTCTTGTAAACTGTTACCGCTCTGAAAGTGAAAGAGTCACAGTTCACATCCTCAAGTGGCACTGATGCTCTGAAATTCTGTTTTTCAGGAACCGTGGACTGCTGTGCCTCAGACTCTGTAATGGAAAATCGCGGTGAGTACCAAGTTGCTCGTTGTGGTTTTGTTAAGTGCAGTGTTAATGCTGTGAAAAGAGCTGTGGATCCACTCATCTCGCTGTACATTCACAGTGTTTATGAGCTCTGTCTGGCCTCACGCTTTTTTTTTTATGAGCCTCTTAGGACGTCATGCGTACATATATCTTCTTCACTTTGCTGCTTCAGTCAGGATCGGTTTCCCATTTCATGTTATTTCAGGGTTTTTCCCTTGTCAGTATTTGTCAGTGTGTAATACGTTAAACCAGATATGCCTAAGTACAGTATCTGTTCAATGTCAGCTGAAGTTGCTCTCTGTGTGTTGTGATGAGGCAGATATTTTATGGTGATTGTGATTGATCACATTGGGCTCTTTGTTTGATTAATTTCCTCTGGTGAAATCCATCTGACAGTGAAGTAGTTAAGAAGCTCTTTACTTTAACAATTACAAGCTGTCTTTCATGACTGACAGCATCCCTCACAACAGCGGCTTAATGACTTCAAAATAAAAGTTTACTCTTTTCTTCGTTTTATGTATAATGTGAAAGTGTGATATTTCTTAAACAGTTAAGCATTTTATTTTAAGTGTGATATTTCTTAAACAGTTAAGCATGTTTAGGATTACTTTAATTTTTCTGGAAAATGTAATGATATTTACACCAGGAACTGCTTCATTTATTTACATTTAGTGACTGTGAGCTGTCACTGTTAATGTCAACAGAAGTTTAATGAGCATCTAATGGCATTTTTAATATGAACAGTAGATTTATCACAATCAATCGTGAATAATGTATTCATAATTAATTAAGGTACCTTATACTTAATTGAGATAAATCAACATGGTCAAGATGACACATTTTTGTGACGCCAGACCAACATTTCTGAGGTGGTTGGTGTGTCGTGGAATATTCGTTCTTGATAACTTGATTCATACAGTAGAAAAAGGCAGAGATTTTATTGGTTCATATTGTTTGAATGTTTGAAAGTGTTGTTCCTGTTAGAAACGTTCTAGTGTCCATGTGTAAACCTTGCTCATTTTGTCTACCTGCCATAGCAGCCTGGTCAGACTGCTTTCCAGGTCAAGCCAACAACGTCTGAAGTTGTGTGCTTTGGCTCGGCTCTCACTGGAAATCTGCCTGCTGTAAGGCTCTATATGGAGCACAGGAAAAGAAGAAGGAAAAAAACTATACCCAACTCTCTAGTTTCAGCATTATAAACAGCTTGAGATGGAGCCAAAAGCTCCCAAAACTCTGGTGAATCCATTAATAATAATGACACAGCTTGGTTCTTTGGATCCTGTCCCTAAGAAGAAGTCAGGCAAGGTTTTCTAAAGACAACATCAAAAGTATGAAAAGGAACAGAGGGGTTTAGTCCACTCTTTTTACTTTTTTCTTCTTCTTTTGTTTTCTGTTCTCTGCTCTGTTTTCTGACACTGAATAGAGCAGCTCGTCTTGGCAAATGCCTACGAACGTTATTCTCATGTGTCCACAACTGTTTGTAATGTTTAAAGAAATTTGGAAATGTGCATGAAATGGTGTCTGGAGGCAGCAGGCGAGGTGAGCAGCAGCATGATAAACACTGCTACCCCTGAACAGCACTCGTAGCTTAATCCTGGATGGAAACGTCAACAAACAGTAACGGCAGTTTTATCCCTGACCAACAGTTCTTCCCATTTTTCATCTCCCAACAATTGGTACAAGCTGTTGTGCTGCTGATACAAGTGGTTCAAGTTAAAATAAAATAATAGTGATGCCTCATTCTGCACATATTTGTTACCGTCTGCCCAGTTACAGTTTCTCAAATCTTTGGGTACGACTCCATCATAACCGTCTGCTCTTGTTCTTCTTAGCTTTAGAAACAACTGACACCAGCGCGTGTGAGACAATATTTTTCAGGACAAACAATGTGGTCGGAGCTTTGTGGTCTGAAGTCTGACTTTTTTCTGTGGTGTTCATGTTCTTTTATTTATTTATTTTTGGTTGGTCTGGAGCAGTTTTTATGATCATGCGAGCTCTTGTTCTCCTGAGACCCACTGCACCACATAGCATGCGTCACATCATCGCTGGATGCACACAATGCACCACATACCACAGCCACACATGAAATTGAAAACATACTATAACTCTTCTTTCTCTCTGGAATGGCAGGCATCTCTCTCTCACTGAATGCTGACCTGTGCTGTGAGCCAAGGAGGGAGGGTCAGTGAGAGGGGGAGAGAAGGGAGTCCAGCTCCTGGAGGGAGGGAAGGTCTTAAGGAGATTGTGAGAGGGAGGGACAGAGAAAGGTCTGAACAGAAAGGAGTAGAACAAGACAAGAGAAACAGAGAGCAGAAGGAACAGGACCTGAGGTGGAGGAGGTCTGAGGAACTGTTTCAGAGGACAAAGGCAGGTGGCGTCGCTCATTGGTCCAGTGTAGCGGGGACATTTTTGGGTGAAGGACAGGTCGAGGCCCCTCGGGGGCTGGATCATGGGACAGAGCCTTGGTGTGGAGACTCCAGCTCAGATCCCACAAAAACACAAAGATGGGGGTGAGTGCTGTGGCTGACTCAAACACTCTGTCTTCCGTACACTTCTGTGTTGAGTTCAACTTCTTCTGTTGGTGCCAGTGTCTTTGAGAGAAAGTCTTTGAAGGCTGTACCATAAACTGCTGTATTCTGGCTCTTTTCTGCCCCCGTCACTTTCACCACAAGGAATGTTAAATCAGTGTGATCACGTGGATGAAACACAGCTGTGTTTTCAAACTCTCATGCATGCTTTTTCTGTACAGTGCACACAAATGCTATCTGAGAGTTTGGAAACACATGGTATCTAAAGGTGAACGATGCTGGAGTTTCTTGAACAACTTAGTTTTGGAGGAAAGATTGATATAATTCCTGGTTTATTAGCACAGGTGCTACTAAAACAATTCTGCTATTGCTCATTGTTTTGGATGTGGTCCGGACAGTTTGGTTCCTACAGTGTTGAGGTGTACGGCTCTAGAGACCAGGGGATGTCCTAGGCCAGTGGTGTCAAATGTAATTGTCGATTTTCTATTCGTCAAGATGCCAGTAGGCGGGTCACTGGATCGACATGCATTATACAAGATGTAGTTTATGTTGACCATAGGCTTAATTAGAATAGTAATTTGACCACAGCATTTAACCCAATCCATTAACCGTTAAGACACCATTTAAGACGACCGCATACATGTTAATGTCTCTGGTCTACATTAAATGATGGCCTTGAGTTTGACATACTGTATATGTCCTAGGTTATAGTACATCAGTCTGTACTTGATGACTGAGTCAGATGTGTTTTTTGAACTGTTTAGTCCTAGTTACAGAATTAGGTTTATATAAAACTGTAACCTTTAACTCCAGGGCATTACAACTGCAATTATAGCACCCCCTGCAGACAGCAGGGTGCTTTATATCATTTAAATAGTAATAGACTTAAGTGGCTGACAGAAGTCACTACCTACTTTCTGTTGAATTACATTTTTAATATTCGGAATATGGAGTAAAAATTAATGTAGATAATGAAATTGTGAATGCATTAAACAAATGTCTTTTCTATTATTGCTGTGGTTAAATTGTAAGTATTCAATCCCAGTAATGCAGTCCTGTGGAGACCACTCGTTTAAATAGATTCGATTTTATAACCAGTCTTTGCAAAGATTAAGGTTATAATGAGGTGATATTTCCCAATCATTCCAACCAGTGGAAGTGAGTGTCTTATATAAGTTAATGGGAGGTTTGCTATGAATTGGCTGGTTGGTGATGAGCGCTGGGGTTCATTTAAAAAAAGCAATTATCTTTAACCACCAGAGTGAAGTGCTGCTGCCCTGACCCACTGAGTCATGAGGTTAGAGGCAGGTCTGTCGGTGGGGCATGTTTGAGAGAGCAGTAGGTGTGTCTTCATGTGTAGGGCTACGTCAGGGCACCCACACTGTCCCACGCCCCCATGTTTCCTGACTGGTATATCTTATCTTGGCAAAGCTGCTGATTACACAGCATGACCGAGATTCTGGACCGGCCTTTGTTGTGAATAAAAACATTTAGCATATTATATCAACAGTGTCTGACTTAATCATATTTACTTTTGCCACTGTGTCTCATCGTCCATTAGTGTTTCCTCCAGCTGTACAGCTGACTGTGTTGTGGTACGAGAGGGGAAGAGGCTGTCTTTGTTCTCGGCCGCAGAGTCAGGGTGGAGTGCTGTTTCCTCCCTGTGTTTCCAGGCTTCCCCCTCCTCTCCATAAGTCCTGTACTTTTGCTCACTTTTGTAGCTTTATTTGCCCTTTACTCTCATTCCCACAGTGACACAGCTGTGAGACCTTCATCTCACCGTGGCTGAAGCAATGACAAGTTGGAGGGCTGTTCTTTGTTGCTGTGAAAAACACTTTTGAGCTGACCGACAATTGCCTTTACTGATATCATTTGTGTCTGCAATTTGACACATTTTATAGTTGGGTGGATGCACACAAAAAAATCCAAGGACATGAATTTTCATCTTTTCCAAATGGATGCCTCCTGCTCTGCGCTGAGTCGACCGCACTAACGTGGATGTGTGCAGGCCTGGCACCGACAGCTTTTATCCTGCTCTACTTCACTTCAGCTGTGTCAGAACAGTCTGCAGTGTGGAGAACGTCAGGATCACCAAAAAGATGACTAAAGCTCTTCTTTATCTGGATGCTATGGTGGCTCTTTTGAATCCTTGGGTCTTTGCTGTGCCAAGTTAAGCTGGATTTCTACAGTGGTGATATGTTCTTGGGGATCTGGACACTTCCATTTTTAGTTTCTCCCAGTTTTCCGTTTCCTTTTTTATTTTTATTTTTTTAATTGTTGAGATATAAACCGGCCAGTTTTTTTGGATTGACAAATGTTCCCCATTTCCTCATGGCATGTTGTTTTAAGTCTCATTACCATGCAAGCTGGACACTCAACACCAACCTTTCAGGTAACATGATTTTAGAGGCAGTTTTTTCAGAAATAGCTAGCTTTCAGTTTCTACAAGACATTAAAAGATTCACCCATACATGATTATATGGCACCTAATATAAAACTGAAACTTTAAGGGATTTTCCTCAGACTGTAGATTCAAAGCCTACAGTACTCATCACTGGTCTTTTGAAGCCTTAAATTGATCGACTGGGAAGTGACCATGACGTATTTTGGGAGTCAGCTTCACACTAGAGTTTTTAAGAATTTGGTGAAGTCTTAGGTTAAGGAAAGTAACACATGGTAACTAGAAGCATAAATAATTACTTGGTCCCTCTCATCTAGACAGCCTGTAAATGAGGTATTTTAATGCTTAATTATCTGTTGTTATGTCTAGATAATTAAAATGTATCTCTTTATTATCTTTATTAATGATTTATACTTGTCAAATGGCAGAGCTACGGTACTTAGAACATTCATGTTTAAAGACAGTAAGAGGGACAGAGGGAGACAGAGGATCCTTCACGTAGGACTTTATTTAGGATTTGTGATCACTGCTCAGTTTTATGACTCCCAGTGGCCTTTGACAAAGCTCTAGAGTCCTTCAGCATCAAACCCCATTGACCTACTGTGCCTGTGGGTTAACAACTACCATCAACTTAGTTTAAATGTCAATATGCTCGATGCTGGAAGTCTCACCTCTCTGTAGCAGACACTTACTTCCTCTATGTTAATGAACAAGAAGTCACAAATGGCGTGCTCCTATATGTACTTCCTTTGTCATTTATTGTCTTTTGCTGTCCACAAAAGTGTTGACGTTATGCTAAGCCACCGTTGTGTTTGAGGCGTCCTGTGAGTTCAGTGCCTTGAATGTTTTAAACAGAGTAAATGAGTTAATATGTTGGCAGAGTCCAGCAGCTGCTGCATTGAGAGCTACTGCTAGTACCTCTTGGAGCTCAGCACCCAGTCAATTGGCCTGTCAATTACATAACCTAGGCTATGTAACCATGACAACCTGTATAATGGACTACTTGAGGTTGGATCTCCTAATAATAATCCCGTGTTGTTGTTGTTGGGGTTTTTTTTCCAAGGTTTGCGACATGGTTGTTTAAATGGATGCATCAATTGATGCTTTTCCTGCCACTGTGTGATTGCTTCCATGTGTGTGCCTCCCCTCTGTGGAGAGGCACTGAGGGCTAAAAGGCAGATAAGGCAGTAGTGTCCATCCAGCCAAGGAATGTGAGCACTTGACAGTGAGAGATGCTGGCTAAAGGCCAGCATTAGAGCTCCCCTGTTAACTGTGGATGTGTGGAGGAGTCCACAGCATCACCCTGCCAAAGCACGTTCAGATCCCGAGAGCTAACGGCTAAACATAACAACAACCATAATGATCACAGGCTTCTTTGCAGTGGCAGCAAATGAGTTCATTTAGAGCAGAAACATTCTGTAATGTTTCAGCTGCTCATGGATCCCAGCGTCAGTGAACTGTTTCCTCACCTCTGCCGTTTCTGTCTGCCTATTTCTGTCAACAGTCGTGTATGAGTTAGAGAGATATTTATATTATATATTTATGTTTACCAGGATACACTGACACACTCACACTGACTGTATTTTTTTCCTTCTGTTGTTTAGATGATGAAAATGAGCAGCACCACAGCACAATGGTGGGTGAGGGGGGCAGCACAGGGGACAGCACTCCGAAGCGTAAGGGCAAGTTCTCTACCCTTGGCAAGATCTTCAAGCCCTGGAAGTGGCGGAAGAAGAAAAGCAGCGAGAAGTTCAAGGAAACATCTGAAGGTTTGTGTTTGTTGAGGTCATTGTTCAAAAGAATTCCCCCCCGCTCCCCGGCACCTCATCCTCCTTCCTCAGCGGTTGTATCAGCTCATATCGGTTACATTCAGCTTTCATCAGAATTCCTCAGCAACTTTCCCGTCTGGAAGTCACAGCCTTCTGCTCTCACCTCATTTTTAAGTCCACCTTCAGTGAGACGATGAGTTGGAGCTGCAGATAAATTTCTTAACTTTTGTCATTGAATTGCAGAGCATTAGCTCATCCACTCACCTTAAACGAGGGCCACATTTTAAACGTACAACAGCAAACTGAGCATGTAACCTAAATTCCATTTATTGATGACAGAGCTGGAGAGAAAGATGTCGACGAGGCGCACACGTCAGGAGCTCATAGAGCAGGGAGTGCTGAAGGAGGTCTCGGAAAATGGTGAGAGTGCCTCTGTGATTCATCAGATCTCTGTACACTCTGCTTTCTGCACCCTTAGGCCGTCACACCCACACAGACAGTACAGTTAAGTCATCAATACAGGAACACTGTCCTGCTGTCCACCAGGAGTCTCAGACATATTTTTTTCTGAAAAGGCAAATTTGTTTTCACCTTGCAGTTTTTTTGTAATGTTATGTCTGTTTAAAATGGAATGCCACTCTCCTGAGCGGAGGAAAGTAGAACGAATCGTGCCCTGCAGCAGAATAGCTTTGGGAGGGGAGTGTGCACGTGTTCTCGTCCTGCTGTAGCAGACGCATTTATTAAAACCTACAGCTGTTCCTTTATCACACAGACAAACACAAGCTGGAGTTATGGGTATTTTTCTTTTCTTTAATTTTTTTTTACTGTATGATAAGTTGAGACTTTTTAACATCCTGGCTGTGAATCAGAATATAGTGCGGTTGTATATTACTGACAAAATTGTTTGATTCCAAACTTTAAATTACCCAGAGGGTTTGCTAATAATATGTGGGTAGATGGAAAAAAAATAGCTGTGCTCAGAACTTTGTGCAGAACTTTTTTTTTATTATTTCTATTTATGTGTACAACATATAAATTCCATAAAATGGTTTATGGTTCAACACTTTACACAATCAAACAAAGTGTTTTTAAAAAAGTCCATTTGATATCTAAAATATGTATGCACTACAAGTTTTTTGTGTGAAACCCAGGCTAAATAAAATACTTTTTAATTTCAAGATGCAGATACTGACACCCAAAGCACCAAGCAGCCCTACGTAAAGAATGGACACACACTCCCTGTGAGTGCTGGGGTTGGTGGTGTTGGGGCAGGAGGGGTCAACAGTGGCAGGAGCCCGTGCACTCAACTCCCCTTAGAGTCGGACTTTAGGGTGAACCCGGCCTGGCTCAGCCACACAGAAGACCGCAAAGGCCGCCATCCATCAGATGGGGACAGACGTGGAGTGCTGTGTTCCAGAGGCACAGGAATGCATGAGGATGGGCGGCGAGGTGGCGGAGGGATGGGGATGCGTTCACACGGTGAGGGCGAGTGGAAATCTAACATGGCCTGGCAGGGCCAGCTCCACAACCAGATGGAGGAGGGCAGACGAGGAGGCCGACTTCATCCGGAGGACGGACAAAAAAGACCCGGGCTGCAGAAGGCTCCATCTGAGGAGGGCAGACGGAGCAGACCCTTGGAAGCAGACTGGAAGCCTGCGCTCCCTCGACATGCATCTGTGGAGGAGGGCAGAGCTCACAGAGGTGAGTCGCCTGCCAAATCTAAAAGCCTGTCATCACAATGTTCCTGTTGAAATTTACTGACAAAGATGAAGTAACATGTCTTTCAAAACATTGGTTTCCTTTATGCTTATTTAACTGAGCCAGTGATTCTTCAGCCTCTGTATATTTTCCTACACTTTCCTTCTCATTGTCACTGTCTTTCCAGATATAGATAGGCTTCTGTCGGCTCCCTGCGGCCCTGCTCCAGCTATGTTTCTTATTCAGGCACATGAGGGAATAAATCGTCCTCTCTTCCCTTCTCCTAATTAATGTGTCACAATCACCAAACCCATTACTGTCCTTTGATGCTAACAGTGTCGGTTCAGGCAGTTCAGATTTTCTTAAACCTTTACATTTGGAGCAGCAAGATGTTTGATCATAAGTCATTCCAAGTACGTTTCCATTTTAGCTTCAGTTTACACAATCCTAAAACTATGTTTGGCTCTTCACGTTTATGAAATAACAGTTCTCACTTGCAACAGCATCAGGACTATGCAAAGTCATTTGACTTGGATGTGAAAATGAGAATTATCATGTTGACCAATTGGTCCAGACCAGAGACATCACAACACCACTCAGTTCACTTGGCCCATATACTGCAATGGGTTTCCAGATTTATCGTATCTGGTATCCTGGATGTGGGCAGGTCTTTTCGGGGATACAGACTGAAAATGTTTACCTTTGGTTTAGGTTTGGCCCAAAGCCTTGTGTCCACATTTTGGCTTTTAAAAGCCAAAAATGAATTGGTGCATGTAAGTCAAGTGACATATTTTGTCATGCTGTACAACCCACAAGTACCATTAATATGAATATTTTAGATTGTGTGGTTTTTCTTGATCAACAACTTGATCACAAATTTGAAAAAAACAAAACTCAGCCTGAATATTTTTAAATATGAAAAAACTCTCTCTGTCTGAAGCTGCTCTGCTCTTCCTCCCTCCCTCTCTCTCTCTCTCTCTCTCTTATGATTTTCACATCTGTTTTCTGACCTTTTGTTTTTTTCACTTTGTCCTCTTCATTGTTCTAGCTCATATTGTCTCATCATTTATTTCCTATTTGGTTTTGTGATGTCATCACTGCGAAGGCCCATTAGAAAATAAAAGAAAATCCTCAGTTTCAAATCAAAAGCCCTGAGGAGTTGTGTGGGAGCCGCAGCAGCAGTGGTTTGTGGAGGTGGATTAGAGTGGACAGGGGAGGTTGGTCTTTGGTGGTGATTGCAGATGCCTCCTCTGTTTGTCTTTGTAGCTGATCTGTAGATGTAGTGCAATTCTCAAGCAAGTGATATCACATAGTGCAATGGTGAGGGAGCAGAAAATGGCTCTGTTCCTAGAGTGAAATGTTTATTAATTAGGAAATGTTTACAGTGAATGAGAAAAGAAACAGACTCCTCCTTAAGTAGACACAGAGGGTGTGTGTGGTAGTGTGTAATGAATTGTCTGTAGGGATCGAGACTTGATTGAAAAAAAACTTGATTAAAACGCTCATATCGTCTCTATACAGTCACTTCACAGACCGTTGTCTGTTGTGTTTTTAAACTGCTTTTATAGCCAACTAAACATGATCTGAAGAGGGAGCTACTGTACATGCTCTGTGTGTTTACTAAAACACCCTCATACTCTATCTCAGGGGTCATTGAGGTCAAATAAGCATTTCCTCCCCCTTGTGGTTTGTTTGTTTATAGAGTCAGACAGCCATTATGATCCTGACCAGGAAGCCCTGCACAATACCCTGCGTGAACCTCTGCCACCTAAACAGACTATCATGCCTCCAAAATGGCTGATGGGCCCTGCT